TCTCTCTCTCTCTCTCTCTCTCTCTCTCTCTCTCTCTCTCTCTCTCTCTCTCTCTCTGTGCATTGCCGTCAACAACCTCCAACACCACTGTCGCGTGGGCGACAACACAAAATGTGGGCCACAACAAAAAGTGTGGGTGTTGATGCCCTCAACCTGTTATAAAAGCCCGCCCAGTCCACCTGAAGTCCCTATTTTTTTTTTTGGGGTGAAATATAGGGAAAAAAAAAAGGACTGCCCGTGTCCCCGGGGGCCCCAGCCTGGCAGCCAGTGCCGGGGGGAAGGGCAGTTTCGAAGGGCAGGCCCTTCGGCCTGCCCTTCAAAACTGCCCTGCCCCGCGCCACTGGCTGCCAGGCTGAGCCCCGCGGGGACACGGGCAGTCCTTTATTTTTTTCCTATTTTTCACCAATTTTTTTTTATTATTATTTTTTTCAAAAACACTCCTCTGCTCCCACCCGCCCCCCCCAACACCCCATGCCCTTAAACCCCCCCCAGCACCCCCCGAAAGGGCCGTGACACGTTCGGACGGGAAGCGTCCGTACGCCCGTACGGGCGTCTGTACGTCCGCCTGGACGGCCCGTACGGGGACCCACCGTACGACGTACAGGGGGACGACACAGTCCGAGCCCACAACCTCCACGCATAGCCTTTTCGATTTGGGCACGTGACCTCGACCTTTCTGTCCTTCCCCCGCATCCCTAGGTTCACTGTCTCACCTCGCCTTCCCAGTGGCACCCCATGGTGGCATCCCGACACAAACCACAGTCTGATTGCCATGTGGATGATGAAAACCGCTGCAGCACGAAGCCGACGTAGATGATGGACATGTTGACGTCGACGTGAAAGGCCCTTGCAATGGAAGGACGCGGATGACGAGGAACTGTCCACCAGTGACTCACACAACGCCGCCGACCAAAAAGGTCCACCGGACAGCGAACACAGATGATGTGGATGTGTAGTCCAACCCTCGTAGCGGTGGAGGACAAGAACGGAGTGCACCGACGGTAGCTGTGAGGCCCTCGCAATGGAAGGACAACGGTATGGAATTGCGCTCTGACTCCCCTTTTATATTCTGGACAGTCGCTAAGTACATGAATGATCAGCTAGCATGGAGGACGGCCTGCCACAAGGATAACACCCCCCCCCACCCACCCACCCATAGT